AAGTAATAAATAATGAGGAATGGATACAGTGTGACTAAGCACTTACCTTTAATGTAGTCAGCTGAATGCACACGGGGCCCCCATAATTTTCTATTTACAGGATACATGGAGACTTCATTAATTGGAAGAAGCAGAGGAAGAGACAGGGCTGGGTGGGTCATCAATGTCGCTTTCTTCAGACAGGTTTATGTACTGTGGAAACTTGTTGGTTGAAGGCACTGGATCATCTTGAGGGAGTGAAGAGGCAGCACTGGTGGGGCGTGAGGAGACAGCACTGGGGGACTTCTTAAAATAGATGTCCAATTTAGACTGCACAGTTTGTTTTTTCTTTTCATTATAAATTTCTCTGTAGCAAGCAAGTGCATCTTGGATCATTCTGTCAACTTTGGCATAATGCTCATAATTTTGATCCATGCCATCAAACATTTGCATTCCTTTATTAATTGTAGCAAATGCCTCTGCCATTTATTTCACTGAAAACTTTTTGGGGGGTGCAGGTTCTTCTACATTTTCTCTCTCTTCTTCCTCAGCAATTTTCTGTGCATCTAGTTCAATAAGATCCTCGTTACTGAGCTCTTCTGCTACACTTTCAACCAACTGTTCAACATCTTCATTATCAATTTCTAACTGAAGCTGTTTACCTAACTCCACTATCTTGTTACTAATATCCGAAATAACTTCATTTTCATTAAATTCTTTGAAACTGTTCACATATCTTTTCAGGATTTTCTTCCAAATTCCATTCATGCACAGTTTTGTAACCTGATCCCATGCTGCACTAATGTTCTTCATACATGACAAAACATTGTACTCCTTCCAAAACACTCCGAGTGTTTTCTCACCTTCAGTAGCAGCAACAGCCTGAGCGAAGGTCGTGCGTAAATAATACGCTTTAAAGGCAGCAATAGCACCTTGATCCATGGGTTGGATGACAGAGGTAGTGTTAGGTGGAATGTACACTACCTTAACATCAGGGTGCATGTCGTCCAGGTGTGGTAGGTGTCCCGGAGCATTATCCAAAATCAGCAAAATCTTGAATGGAATCCGTTGTTGCAAACAATACTCCTTGGCTCGTGGAATGAAACAAGTCATGAACCAATCCTCAAACAGTGCTAAGTTCATCCAGGCTTTCTTATTACTGCGATAAAACACTGGCAGTGGGTGCTTGCTGACATGTATAAAAGCCCTGGGGTTCTCTGAATGATAGATCATGAAGGGCTTTAGCTTGAAACCAGCAACATTCCCCCCCAACAGAAGTGTAATTCTGTCCTTGAATGCCTTGAATCCTGGCATTGTTTTCGCCTCTTTGTGGATGTATGTCCGCTCAGGCATGCGCTTCCACAATAATCCAGTCTCATCCACATTGAATATTTGCTCAGGCAAATAATTCCCTTCCACAATCACATCATCTAACTCCTCCTTAAAAGCTTCGGCAGCACTAACATCAGCACTAGCTGCTTCTCCACTCACCTTAACATTGTGTAGACTGTAGTATTTTTTAAATCTATTAAACCACCCATGACTTGCTGTAAAGGTTTGATCACATTCATCTCCTGCCTGCTCCTTCAGGCTTTGGAACAGGCTTCTTGTTTTAGCCTGTAAGGTTAGAAGGCTTAAGGGTACACACTTCTGTATCTGGTCTTCTATCCATATCACCAATAATTTTTCCATATCGTGAATAGGACCTTATCTTTTCTTCGAAATTATAGTTCCCTTTATAGGTGTTGTTCCTATCACTACATCACGAATACGTTCCTTGTCCTTCAGAATAGTGGATATGGTCGAGTGCGAGAAACCTAGGTCGCATGAGATTGTTGCTACTGTTTTACCGTTCTCATACTGCATTATTATCTTCATTTTCATCTCAAAAGTAATTGCCTGTCTCCTTTTCTTTGGAGCACCACCAGCACTCTCATTTGTACGCTTCAAGTCATTATAAAGTCAACTAAATACGATAATAACGTAAGTTCAGAGCGCGATCAGTATAGGATACGATAGCCAAACACCAACTAAGCGCTGTAATGAGTGAGTGTACCCACACGGTGACCCAAGCCACGCCACGCTCTCGCTCACGACGGAAGCGCTTCGGTATAGAAAATGCGGGCGTCATTTGAAAATATTTTTGGTCGCGACTGCGGCTGTCGTATGTCCCGACAGTCGTAAGGTCAGAGCAGGTCATAAGTGCGGATTGACGTAAGTTGAGTCAGTCATAAGTCGGGGACTACCTGTATATACTGTATATACAGTGATCCCTCGGTTAACGAGATTTCGGTTAACGAGTTACCTTCCATAAGATTCTTAACTTCGGTTAACGAGCAATCCCTAGATTAACGAGTTTCTTACGAGCGGCCCCCAACATGTTTTCGCTTGCACACCAGCTGTCGTATTAGTCCGCCAATACAGTAATCGGTTCTAGGGCTTAAATTCCTTACTATTTTAGTAAATATCAGTAAGTTTATACTATTCAATAATTTAAAAAAATTAATATTAAATTTTTTAGTCATTTTAACAATTAATGACCATAATTGAAGTACAGGAAACTAGTTTTATGCGCGCCAAACAGCCTGTCAACACACCAAACAGGCGTCAGTCTCTGTGTCTTTTCAGTGGAGGTAACATCTTGCTTGAGACTCTTCAACTAAATGCTTTTTTCCTGTGTTTCCAAGCAAATTATTGGTCATTTTGAAATTTATTTTAAATATTGACAATACCATGTATATAGTGCAGTGCAGTGTTAATTTAAAGAAAATATTCTTTATTTACAGCAATTAAACTTAAAATATCATGTGTTGAGATTGTTTGAATCCAGCATGGGTCCCAAGAGATCAAGAAAAGCAATTTCAATCCAAGTTAAGCAGGAAATTATTAAATAACATGAAGAAGGCATTAGAACAAATGTGCTATGCAAAGAATATGACATGTCGACATCAACTGTGTCGACAATTCTTGCAGAGAGACAAATTCAAGGTAGTGAAAGTGAGAGACAAATCTACCAGAGTGCTCAAAGGTAGATCCCTAATTGCAGAAACAGAGAGGTTACTTCTCATCTGGATTAGGGAAAAACAGATGATAGTTGATTCAGTTTCTATTGAATTTATTTGTGAAAGAGCCAGGGAGATTTACGAATATTTAAAGACAGATCAACCTGGTTCTTCAGGCACAGAATTTAAAGATTCTAGGGCCAGCAAAGGTTGGTTCGAAAAATTTAAGAAAAGGAATGACATATTTAGTGTAGTTAGTCATGGTGAGGCTGCTAGTGCTGATGAGGAAGGGGCAGCAAAGTTTTTAGTGGAGTTTAAAGAACTGATTGATGAAGAAAATTATCTTCCACAGCAAGTGTTCAATGTGGACGAAACTGGGCTGTTTTGGAAAAAGATGCCCAAAAGAACATTCATCACCAGAGATGAAGCCTCTTTACCTGGGCATAAACCCATGAAAGACCGTCTCACTCTATTGCTTGGTGCCAAGGCTTCAGGGGATTTCCGACTGAAGCCTATGCTTGTCTACCACTCTGAGAAACCCAGGGTGTTCAAGCAACAGAAAGTGGTAAGAGGACAGCTTGGAGTTTATTGGAAATCCAACTGTAAGGCATGGGTGACAAGACAGCTCTTTAATGAATGGGTTGTTGAGGTGTTTTGCCCTTCTGTGAAGAGCTACCTAACCACCAATAAACTCCCTTTAAAGGCTCTTCTCCTCATGAATAATGCCCCTGGTCATGACCCTCAACTTGCCAGAACTTTGGAGCCTCAATTTGACTTTGTCAAAGTGTTGTTTTTGCCTCCCAACACTACATCAATCATACAGCCAATGGACCAGAATGTGATCAGCAACTTCAAGAAGTTGTACATGAAGAAAATGTTCAGGAGGTGTCATCAGGCAACTTCCACTGATCCTGAACTAACACTGGCACAGTTCTGAAAGACACAGTTTAACATCCTGGAGGCTGTAAAATTGATTGTGTCCTCATGGCAAGAAGTCTCCACTAGAACCCTCAATTCTTCATGGAAAGCACTGTGGCCATTAGTAGTCCATGATTTTGAGGGATTTCAGGATGAAACAGAGTTGCACCAGGAGATTTTGTCCATTGGTCAGTAATTGGGCCTTGAAGTGGAGGAGGATGATGTCGAAGAGCTTGTGATGTCTCATGAAAAGGAACTTACTCCTGAAGACTTGCAGCAATTGGATGAGATGTTAGAGGCTGACAGTGGTGAGGAGGAAACGGAAAGTGATGACCATATGTCTACTTCACAGTTGAAAGATGTTGTTCACTACTGGGAGAAGTTCAGGAAACTGGCTTCAAGGCACCCAGATGTGGAAAAATCTGAACTAGCTTTGTGTCATGTTGATGACACAGTGGTCTCCTTCTTTCAACATCAGTTAATGATGAGGAGGAGAGATGCCCCACAGACCAAAATTGACACTTTCTTCAGTAAAAGGCAGAGGGAACAAGATGCTAACCCTCAGCCTTCCACTTCAAGGAGAGAGGATGTTCATAGTGGAGAATCTGTCAGTCCAAAGGTTCCTGACATTTTCATGGAAAGTGACTCACCTTCTGGAACGAATTGTGCTCGTTAACCGAGGGACCACTGTATAAAAAAAAATTATTATATATATATATATATATATATATATATATATATATATATATATATATATATATATATATATATATATATATATATATATATATATATATATATATATATATATATATATATATATATATATATATATATATATATATATATATATATATATATATATATATATATATATATATAATTATATAATTTTCTTTTACTGTACTGTATAGTAAATATGTGAGATCGGAAGCCATTTATCATAAAAGAATAAAATATAATAAACAAAATGAAAGAAACTATGATTTCATTCACTGCTGTAGGTTCAATCATGAGATGAGTGGAAACAATTAAGTATGAACAAGTCAACTTCTTCGGTAGCTAGTTTATATAAAAAGGTAATCATTCTAATTGCCTTACTCTTCTCCTTCAATCTCTGGCGAACCTTCTTCACTTCCTGATATACTTGACACGTCATCACTTTCTGCCGTCAAGGAAGTTTCTGGTATTTCTGGAATGCCACTTGCCTTCAACATGACTTTTAATCTCTTGAGGTATTTCAACAAAACAGAGTACTGGAAGTTACCTCGCCGTTCTCCAAATGGATCCTGAAAAGTGATCAAGTGCTGTACTATATTGTTTCTCATATACAACATTATTGCATCATAAAAACAATACTATACAATCATAAAAGACCAAGTGTCATTATGCAGTAGTAGTTCATATCTCTAAAACAAGAGCACTGTACCACAAATGGCAAATACTGTAATATCCAGACCACCTGGCATAGTGCATAACTAACTACAGTACATTTCACAGTGACCCAAACTGGAATTCCAGGTAACAGGACTCCCAAAACTATGTGTGTGTGTGAAACAAGTCAGGCAATATTGGAAACAACTTTTAATAGCATACAGTCAACCCTCACTTTACGCGGTCCCACATTCCGCGTTTCCACGTTTACACGGTGCCCTGCCAGAACCCAGGATGCTCACATTCCGCGGTGGGTGTACCCCTTTACACGGGTAAAGTATAATTTTTTTTATTTAGCTCATAAAATTCATACAAATTATCCGGCCAGAATATAATTTACATTGCTGGAATTCTTACAATTTGATGATCATTTTGAATATAAACATCATAGATTTTGCATTAGACATACAAATTTTAGATATAATGTTTACTCTTGAGTAAATATGTTATCTTTTGTGCAAAATATATGACATTTATATTCAAAATATTCCTGGTCTTACAAGGAATCCAGCAATGTCAATTATATTATCCTAACTTTAGTCTGATTTATTATTTATTACTAAAAAGGTAAACAGTCTGGTATTCCCACACATTTATCTAGTAGGGACGTTGGTGGGGGGTGGGGGGGAGGGAGGGAGGGACCAGCGACCGACCATCTGTTACCGTGTGAAGAATATTTTTTTTTTTATTAACTGAAGATTTTTATTTTAGCTCATAAAATTCATACAAATTACCCGGCCAGAATATAATTTACATTGCTGGAATTCTTACAATTTGGTGATCATTTTGAATATAAACATCATATATTTTGCATTAGACATAAAATTTTTAGATAAAATGTTTAATCTGAGTAAGTATGTTATCTTTTGTGCAAAATATATGACGTTTATATTCAAAATATTCCTGGTCTTACAAGGAATCCAGCAATGTCAATTATATTATCCTAACTTTAATCTGAGGTATTATTTAATACTAAATGTTAAAATCTAGTTTTTTCACCCACTCTTTCTCTTGAAGGGAGGGTTGGTGGAGGTGGGGGGAGGGTTGGGACGGACTGACCATCTGGCTCGTTGGAAGAGGGGGGAGGCAAGTGGGGTACTTTGATTGACAGATAGTGTCGTGAAGAATATTTTTTTTTTTTATTAACTGAAGATATTTGTTTTAGCTCATAAAATTCATACAAATTACCCGGCCAGAATATAATTTACATTGCTGGAATTCTTACAATTTGATGATCATTTTGAATATAAACATCATAGATTTTGCATTAGACATACAAATTTTAGATGTAATGTTTACTCTGAGTAAATATGTTATCTTTTGTGAAAAATATATGACATTTATATTCAAAATATTCCTGGTCTTACAAGGAATCCAGCAATGTCAATTATATTATCCTAACTTTAGTTTGAGGTATTATTTATTACTATACCTGGTTTTCCCCCAAAATTTCTCAGAGGGAAGAGCCAGCAGTGTAGTGTGAGAAGAGGGGGAGGGAGTCGTGTCCATTATTTGAATGGACATTAACTTGGCGACTGTATTTCTCTATTTCTCTTAAGTATTAATTGTGTGCATGTACCATCATAAAATTAAGATGTTATTTTTACTAGAACATAGGTATTGTGTTGGAAAAAGTGGAGTTTGGGGGTCAGCTGGTCTCTATTTCATTTAATCCCATATGTTATGTTATTCACTTTACGCGTTTCTCACTTTCCGCGGTACCCTGTGGGTTACATTAACCGCGTAAAGTGAGGGTTGACTGTACTATAAAACAATGGATGCTTCAAAGTAGTTAAACAGGATATTATTTCAACTATCTGTACAATTTAATGTAACATTTCATCTTTTATTATGATGAGTTATACAAAAGTTCATATATGCAGTTCAATGTAGTAAAACGTGAAGTACAGCACATATCTCACACCACTGGCATATGTCATACCTCCATGAATTCTTACAAAATGAAAACAAGTCTTGAAGAACTTGCAAATATACAGGTGTTTCTGCGTTGGCACCCAGATGTGTTAGTTTAGTGTCTTTCCATTACAAAAGAGCATAACATTCTCCCAAGACAGAATAATCTTGAACTGTGAAGCAAGATATAACCAAACAGCTTATAAGGTTCACTACTTGGGGACCTTCAAATGAAAAGTCACACAAAGAAAATCATTTCACACAACTGAAAAATTTCTTACCCTTTACTAATTGTACAATTTCAAGGTGAATAACATTCACAGAACAATTAATAACACAAATATTTCTCATTAATCGTGAGTTTAAGCAACAAGCTAAGTGCAGTGTATGTTTTTCAGTCAGCCAATTTTATTGCTTTCTGATGACTGGTCTATTCGAAGGATTAATTGAATCTTGGACAATGATCTGTATGATGCCCAAGATAAAACTTGTCCATAGCAAAGCATTCTCAGTCATTCAACTGCCTATAATATGTATACAGTACCTGTACACCATACACGTTCTTGTATCTGCCTGCAACTTTTGTCATAGTGATGTGCCTAAATCCAACCCCTGGGCTGCACTTCTGGCTAATAAAAAAGCACTTTGAAAATACTCTCAATTGAAGATGAACATGAATAGTAAACATAAGGTTGTTGCCGATGCAATGCACTAGTAATGTTTTGTTGTCTTTCGGATACTCTGACAAACATATCTTTTATACCAGTTAAATATCCTACTTTATCTTATCTCCTTGGTATACAAGAGGCTGATGAATATATATGATGCTACCTGAAAGGCAGGAACCTGGCTGTCATCTTAAACTTTGACATCTTATCCCAAATTTGTATGAAACAATTTGATCTTATTAAGAAATATATTAGTGCAAAGTTTCATTAGAATTCCCCATTGATTCAGAGGTTAGGGACCGGACACAAAATAGGAGAGATGAATGACCAGACTGGGAAAGCAATGAATGACCAGACTGGGAAAGCAAAAACTACAAGGTCCCCTTTCTCAGGAAGCAAGAACACTAGTAAGAGGAGTAATCCAATATGCCAAGTGAAATAAAGTCAATAAAATAATATGAAGCTATTATACATTCATGTTATTAAACACTCACGTCCATTGGTTGTCCGTCTCTGTGCATGTTTTTCTCACATATTTCAACATAATGGTCGTAAAATTCCATAAACGATGACTGCATGACCTTAAACAAGTCAGGTGGGGCAGTTGTGTTGCCCTCAAGCTGATGTATCACTGCTACCCTGATGGTCTCATGCATGATGATGGAGTTGTAACGCTCACTGTCCCCAATATTGTGTTCCTGAAAATAATTTGGCAAACTGATAAGTGAAAGACTGTATAAGAACTATAACTACCCATATACCATATATATCGGCCTACAAGTCGACGAGGTGTATAAGACGACCCCCAAAATTTCCATTTAAAAAGTAGGTTTTGAGTTCTATTCACGATATAAGACTACCCTAAATGTGACACTTACCATTGGGAGTCACTCTTAAGTAATGATAAATAAACACGCAGGCCTTCAGCGCCAACTGTCAAATCTTATCTCAAATAAATAAACAAACACCAGACACTCTGTCACCTCACCTCCCACACCCCCCCCCCTGTAACCCACCCCCTCTTCCCAAGCTCGCTGGCTACCTCCCTCATTGTGTTCCCAGACAAAAAATTGGTGATAACTTTACGCTTTAAGGTGTTTATTATATATAATATCTCAGACTAAAGTTAGGAAATTATAATTTGCGTTGCTGGAATCCTTGCAAGACAGCCAATAATTTGAACATAAATGTCATATATTTTGGTCAAGATATAAAAATTTTAGTACATTAGTGTACTGTAATGATTGTTTGTCAGACCAAAGCTTACAGCCCAGAATTATGTCGCATATAACAGCAAATACACTACAGACCTCGCGGTACCACCACATTCCGGGTTGACACACCTCAGGTCGACCCTAGGGACTTGACCTCGCCCGCTAATGACGTGAGTTAGCCGGGTGACCTACAACCCCACCTAACCAAGACACCTGGGCAGGACCACACCTGCACACAGCTATCCAGATCAAACCAGTTTAGTGATAATTGGTTTGAGGTCAAAAGCCGGCTGGGCCGACCCTATATAAAGGCCCTACAGTCCCGTCCACGATCATTCTGGTTCTGATTATCATTCCATTCTGATTATCTTTCTGGTTCTGATTATCATTCTGATCCTGGTTGCCATTCGAACATTCGAACATTACTCTGGAGATTCTCAGTCCTCTCCCCAGGTCGGGAGGGGGACTTCCCGACCAGACCCCAGCTAAGCAGAAGCCTCCCATTCGAGGCAGCCCAGCCAAGCATCCACTGGGCCTACGTCAGGGTACACGTGAGTCTTGTCAGAACGATTCCTAGGGTGAGTTACCTACTATGGGAAGTGTATTCATTCAGGTGTGTCCGAGAGTCAGTGTCGAGTAACGTAAAACATAATGTGTTAGTACCCCGATATAATAGTGAAATTAATGTGTCCATGTCATTGAGTGAATTAATAAATAGTTGTATCGAAGAGGTGTTTAACAAGTTGTCCCTTTAAGAAGTGATATATGTGTATTGACATACGAGATAAGATAAGCGTATTGACGCTGAGTAAATAACATCCCGGCCACGCTACCAGGTTTCCTATCTTTACATTACTACTCTCTATTCTTACTTATATGTGTAATCTTCTTATTGTGTTCTGTCTCATTATATTAGTGGCAGCGAACTATAACGTTAACCCACGCCCTCCTCGTCCCTTGTTATTGGTAACAGTGTACTTAACGTAAACCCATGCCCTCCCTCGTTTAGCCATAACACCTGGCTCGTTGTTTGAGTATCGTTCATAAGTGCGTAATAAGAAGTTCCTGCGTAGTAGCGTGAAAAGTGTCCTAGTGTGTCACCGTTACAGCTCAAGTAAATGTCTCTCGTCGTGGTATGCGAGAATTTTTACTAGAAATATGTTCAGTGCTTAACGTAATTTCTC